AATTTTTTGTTTTTATTTTTTTATTTATCCCAAAAAAGATTTATCATAAAAAATCGAACGATGTTTATCTAAATTTTTTTGTATTAAAAGGACTGCAAGACCTTTTCTTTCTCTTTTTCAAGGTTTACAAAAGTTTGTTTATTAATAGTTATTATTAATCATAATTATTAAATTAACAACAAAAACGTGGATTTTTCAAGGTAAACTTTTTTATAATAAATACATTATATTATTATATAATATACAATGATATATCAATATTTATTGTTTCAAATTATTCTGATTTTTACTAATTAAATTATAATTATGTATGTAATAAACATATATATATAAACACCTCCTTTTCCTCCTTTCATCCTACCTTTCTCTTTCTCTCTTTAATTTGCTAAAATGCACGCATAAATATATAGTTTAAAACCATGAAGCGTCGAAAATCGCTAAAGATTTAAATTAATTAATTAAATAATAACATAAGATTGTCTTGTAGAAAAAGACAATTAGAATACATCAGTAAAAAAAAAGACTTTTAAAAACAATTTTTTCTAAAGGGAGAACCCACTTTTTTTAATTTCGTAGTAAATTTTTTAAAATTTATTTTCACACACCACAAAAAAAACAATAATAAATAATAATAATAATAAACACCAATTCATACATTTGTTTGTACGCACATAACACACAACCTTTCTCATTATATTTTTCATAATATTTTTCACAATACCACTGCACGACACAAATTCCTTATTCCCTATCTATCTTACTTTTATTATTCTGTTACACGGACCTTCGTTACTCTAAACTACAGAATTAATCCAGATTAGTCATTATTTATCACTATATATTATTACCAATTCAACGTATACGCAGCAACTTAATTATATAGCATTCAATTAACAACAGCGGATTATTACATTATTACCACACGTCTACAATTACTACAACTAAACTAAATTAACTGAACACCAACAACATAAAAAAAAATATATATTCACGGACTTTAATCAATTTTCCGAACGATAACAAGGTGTAACAAAAATAAATATACTGAAAGAAATATTTAACTACGGAAAAAAACAAAAGAGAATTTCCTTTATTTTTATTTTTTAACTGTGCCGATTTACTTTCAAAAAAAAAATATATATATATAAATAAGATTTCTTTCCTTTTTTTTTTAAAAAAAAATTTAAAAAACTCAATTTTAATAATTTAAAAATATTCAAATACAAACGCCTTTTTATTATTATTTAAAATGACACCAATACTATCAACAATATATTCAACATTTAAATCATCAACAACACCAAATATAATATCATCAATAAACACAAAAATGTCATCAACAATACATCAATGCGATGAAATGTCTTATATATACGAAACAACTTTACAAAAATTTAACAACTATCATGAACGAGAGAAAAGTTTAAGGAAGTTCGTGTTGCTTCGTAATTTTTACACAAATCAATTCTTAATTCCGCCACCATTGAATAATAATCAACAACAGCAACAAGAAGAATATAATAATAATAATAATTTTGTGGAATATTTTAATGAAAAACTTGAATGGTCAGAAGACGATATAAAGAAAGAAGAAGAAACTTGGTTGGATGCTTGTTTAGATAATGCTAGTTTAGACGAATACGATGATGGTTATGTTTATGTAATTAAACCTAATGATGGCGATCAACAAATAATCGGTGAAGTTGGAGGTGTTGTAGTGGCAGGAGAAAAAGAAGAAAAAGAACCAATAATTAACTATAGAGATGAAATAATAATACCTAATGATCTATTTTTAGAAGAATCCAAGATTAATAGTAATATTAACAGTAAAATTGGCAATAATAATATCATTAGTAATAACAATAATATTTCTGATCAAGAATTTCATCCATATTGGAAAGATAATAGTATAATACGACCAAAATCAGCATCTCTACCACCTTCTATTGATCATTATCGTCCATTTTTCGATCAAAAATCATCATCAGATAATGTTAGTAATAGTAACAATAATGCAGAAAGTAACAACAATAGTAATAATAATAATAATAATAATAATAATAATAATAATAATAATAAAACTAGTAGCAATAATGATAGTAATAATAGTAGTGGCCATTTTAAAATTCGATCATTTAGTATCCCAAAAATATTCCATAAATATAAATTAGGCCACGCGATTCTAGATTTATTACAATCCGATAATCAACCATATTTCTTCGATCAGTCAACTAATACTACAAATAACACTAACCGATCCCAAGATGATCTTGACATGCTGTTCTATTCTCCACCAAAAGATTTATTAGATCATGGAATGTTATCGGATATTATTAGTATGTTGGAATGGTACGGTGGAAAGAAAAATGATTCATCTAATAACAATGGTAACAACAATGATCCTAATAACAAAAACACGACAACTACAGCCACAGAATGTGTTAATACATCTATCAATGCAAATAATTGGTTTGTAGAGTGTGAAAAATGTTAACAATTTACACTATTAATTACTAAATCGAAAAAAAAAATAACATTTGCTTGTGAAAAAAATATTTTTATATTTTATACAAAAAGACTTTTTTTTTTCTTTTTTTTCTTTTTTCTTTAAATATAAAAGATATATTACAATATTACACTACACACATAAACACACATATATACTATTTTTATAAATCTATGAGTGCGTACATATACATATATACATATATACATATATATTATTTACTTTTTTTTTTTTTTTCTGGACGATTTATATTATTATTTTACGAAAAATATTATGCAAAAAAACAAATTTTCTAAGATTTAATAATATATTTACACGTATTAATATTATTATTTGTTATATATTATGTAAATAATGTAAATAAAATAAATAATAATAATAATAATAATAATAATAAAGATTTTTTTACAAGCAAAACTTTTTTCGTATATTTCAATTATCAGTTGCAAATCAAAACAACGTGAACGTTGAACTTTTGAATTGGTCCATTATTATACAGCGGTAAATAAAGTAGTGAATAAAAACTCACAGGCTGAAAACTACTGATCAGATAAAGGATAATCTTTAAATAGATAACTCGGCGCCTCCAGATTATGCAACGTTATATTTGTTTATTAGGAAGAGAAAACCTGCCGGTTCTTTTGTTAATTAAAATATAAATCAATAAGTTTCCACATGGTAAAAATCATTAATCATTATAATATAAAAAAGTTTTGATCAAAGT